CAAAGAACAGCGCAAGATACTTTGCTCAACTTGGAGCTCTCCGTGGCTTCATGGGCTCAGTGTCCAGCCCCAAGCACTGCCCGAAAAGCAGGCAGTAAACAGAGACTCAGCTCACACGCAAGGGGCCTTCCCTCCATATCTTCTTCCAGGGAGGGAGCTCCACTCTTTGGGGATGTAATTTTCCAATAAATCTATCCCTACTGTTTCACCCTCATTTCCTTTGGCCTCCTCGTCTTTTTCTTCTCATCTCTGCACGTTAATGCTCCGTGCACTGAAGTCTGTTCTCCCAAGAAACACTAAAGTTGCTGGACGCTGCTAGAATCTCTTCCCTAGTCTTTCCTGTCAGGTACAATTCTTTTGTTTGTGAGAGAAGAACCAACTAGGGCTTTGATAGACAAAAGGACTCTTAAAAGCTGGTAAATAACTAAAATGCAAGGATTAGAATCTGTCCCTTCAGAGCTAAAAAGAGTGAAGAGACTCAAAGACTCAGGACACAATTACAAAAAGTTTACCACACGGCATGAACCACAACCTCCACAAAACTGAAACTGGGAAGTCTAGAAGGCGCTTGGCTGCCATTACCTCCTGCTCGGAGCACAATCACAAGAGAAGGCCCTGGCAGGGAGGAAGGTTTAGAATAAAATTCAAAATCATAAGGGGAAAAAACCAACCAGACTTACCGGTCCATCAGAGCCTTGGTGAGAGCCCTAAGACTGTGGTCTGTGGTCCCTGGACTCGTATCAAGCCTGGAGCTGAGTCCACTCCTGCAGATGAACAGTCCATCAAGCCATGTTGGTGGTGGTGGTGTCATTAGGGACAGTCGAATTGGTTGCAACTCAGCAGACCTGTGTACAACAGGTTGATGCACAAGCACTGAGGCCTCTGTTAGAACCGCTGTGTAAATACGTCTGGTTGAGGGTCTTCCCGTCTCGTTGACCTTCTATTTTATCAAGAGCTCTCTTGGGTGCAGTCTGTAAGAAGCTGGAAGGCAAACCCAAACATGGCTGCTTGCTATCCACCAGCAGAAGCTCCTCGCGGGAAAGGCAAGCCATCTCTTCTTGGTTTTTTCAGACTCCAAACCCCCCCTGGAGGGTCAGCTATGAGACAGCTCCAGCTTGACTCCAAGGAGCCTTTTTTGGTCCACTTTCCCTCCCATGGTCCTCCTCCAGGGCTGGCCGCTCCTGATGACAGCAGGGAAAGGATGCAGCCCCGACACACACCTTTCCCTTAAAGCCACACAGTAGTCTCGTGTTGTTTTCAAATTACTAATTCTTGGTCTACACACAGGTTCTGTCTGAGCAGAGTTTTCTAGAATTGCCATTTTTTGCAGTGTGACTAATAATTTGTTATGATCCAGTCAAATGCCTTTGTGTGGTCAATAAAATACAAATACACATCTTTCTTTCTAGTATTCTTTGCTTTCCACCAAGAACCATCTGGCATCTGTAAGGACAGCCTCCATTCACTCTCATCTGCATCAGTAACTCCCGTTGTTGTTTGCTGTTGTGTGCCATTGAGCCGGACCTGACGCTAAGCTGAGCCGGTAGCTGGTTCTCAGAGGCAGTTAATCACACGGGAAGAGACCGCCCGTCCTTATGAGGAACAGCTGGTGTATTCGAACCACATGCCTTTTGGATTGCACCACAGCTTCTTATCATTAGGCCACCAGAGCTCCCTACATCAGTAACCACCGAGAGACCAAATAAGATGCAGATGGGAAAGCAGGCGTGGCTTTCCTACGGGTGTAACAAAGTGGTGGTGTTGGCAGGTGTGGCTCAGTGTGGGAAGGGGACAGATGACAGATGGACAGAGCTGAAGCATGAATTCAAGATGAAGACGTTAAATATGTGGATGCTTATTAAACACTCAAAGGGCCCTTCCTCTGTGCAACCGCTAAGCCAAAGGTCAGAGGTTGTAAGTCACCAGCTGCTCTGCAAGAGAAAAGGCAGTGGTCAGCCTCCAGCACACCACAGAGGGCCACGCTCATCTGTCCTATAGGGTCGTGGTGAGTTGGTGACAGCAGGTTGGGGCTTTGGTTTCATTACATCCTCACGGGGTGACACTCTGTAAGCCCCTTCTAACTCACATCCTGAACCTCTCCCATGTGTGCCTATTTCATCCGCATGTCCCTACTTTACCCTCGGTCACCACCTAAGACCCCTGCCAGGCTCATCAACACCATCCAGTGGGTTTCCCCACCTCTACGTTGCTCCCAGTTTTGAGTGTGGCGGCCAGAAACTCTGTCTGGTCACACAACCCTCATACTTCAAAACCTCAGCAGTCCCCAACATGGTCACCCTGAGATATTCTTTAAGCCTTGAATTGAAACTCTCCCCAACAAGCCATCTTTTACCTAACAGCAGGTGGCCAGTAAACCCATGAATGTCACCCTTCTGTAGTGCACTCCTTTTTTTATTTAAAGAAAATATATTTTAGAAATTTTACTACTACTCAAGTACTTACACTTGTAATCAATTGCTCCATTAAGTGCTGATGGTAAAAAAAAGTCACTGTTAGGTAATCTTTCAACTCAATATGAAAGATACGAACTAGTCAAAGGGCCCAGTTCAAACTTTGAATACTTCTCAAAAGGCAATGGAGGTCCCTTATCACTCCTGAGAATGAGAAAAAGACCCATCAGTCAGCACTTAAGAGTCATTAGGCATCAAATTCTAAATTTCGTTATTTATTAGACATGTTTCTTGCCTGGTTTGTCTCCTTAGTTATTATCTGTAAGACTCCGAGAAGCCGTTAGGAATATGCAGATGCAGACTCCAGGCCCAGCTTTGTCTCCAACAAGAAAGGGAATGAATGTACATTATTCTAAATCATCGTGACTTACTGAAGAGATGGGAAGCTTTCATTATGGATGTTTATTAATTCATTGAAATAATAAGTAACCTTTTGGTTGAGGGAGAAGTGAGTTAAATAATTTCTGGTTCTGTGGCAGTAATTAGTCACACATATATTAATTTGCTTGTTTTCAATTCAGACACTATTAAGAAGGAAAAAAATCCAGGAGGACGGGAGGTTGGAGTTAACAGCTTCCCTTTTTTCAACATTTCCAAAAAGCAAATTAAAACAAGCCCTGAAACAAGTCAACAGCAGAGAAACTCATTAACTTAATACATTCTAATCTTGATGTCAGGGACCTCTCCAGAATACTGAGAAGCAACGATGTCGGTTTTGAGCCTGATCCAGACAATGGTCTTCATTATTATTTGCTCTGCATCAGAGAGCTGGACAATGACTAAGGATGACAGAAGAAAATGGATGACTTTGAGTTGTGGTGCTGGAGGAGTCTTGAACATACCATGGACCACCAAGAAAACAAATAGGTCTGTCTTGGAGAGGGTGAAACCAGCTTCCTCCTTGGAGGCTAGGATTTTGAAGCTCCGTCTCACATGCTTTGGGCATGTGGCCAGGAGGGACTGGTCCTTGGAAGAGGATATCATGCTATCCTCTCAGATGAGTGGGAGGACAGTGCAAGAGAGAAAGACCCCAGGATAAGATGGATTGACACAGTAACTGGGGCAGTGGGGGGTAGGTGTGTCGGAGTCAGTGAGACTGGGTCAGGATAGGGCAGGCTTCAGAGCTGTTGTACATAGGGTAGCTATGAGTCACAGGTGACTCAATGGCACATAACAACAACAATCTTGTGAATAGAAATTGGAACTGGATTCAAAGAATTCAGAGCCTGAATTTCTACCTCCAAACACATGCAAGACAGCAAAGCCGGGGTGTCTGTGGCTCCTTTAAGCAGCACAATCTTCTTAACCATCTTCTATGCATCAGAGAGCTGGACAATGAATAAGGATGATAGAAGAATTGATGCCTTTGAGTTGTGATGCTGGAGAAGCATACTGACTATCCCATGGACTGCCAAAAGAACAAACACATATGTCTTGGAAAAAGTGCAGCAGAGTGTTCCTTGGAAGCAAAGACTCCCAACAAGATGGACTGACATGGTGACTTCAACAATGGGCTCTAGTGTGTCAGAGTTGATGAGGAAGGCAAAGGATAGTGCAGGGTACAGGTAAGCTGTTCATAAGGTTTTTAAGACTCATACTTGTCTGGACAGAACCTAACAACCATAACAACAAACAGACAAAGTACAGAAACAGACAAATACTGTACCCAGAAAGTGAAGAGGACTTTAAATACTTGCTGAGAATCAAAGACTATATATAGCCTTTTATATTGATTACATCTCAATATAAAGTAAACTAAAATCCTTACCACTGGACCAAAAGGCAACAACAACAATATGATAGCTGGAGAAAAGACTTAAGTTGTCAACGATTTTATTTCACTTGGATCCACAATCAGCATCCAGTAGTTATGTGCCATGGAGTCATCTGTGACTCATAGGGACCCCTATTTACAATAGCTCTGAAAACGGTCTGATCCTGAGCCAATCTCTCTGTCTATGACACCCTCATTACCCGAGTTGCTATGTCAATTCATCTCATCTGCGCTGACCCTCCAATTTTCCAAGCATGATGTCCTTCTTCAAGGGCTGGTCCTTCTGGCAACGTGTCCTACGTACGTGAGATGGAGCTTCAAAATCCTGGTCCCCAAGGAGCAGCTTGGTTTGACCCTCCCCAGCACCTGGGTAAAAGCAGTCAAGAAATCAAAACAAATGTTAAAATGGGAAAATCTGCTATCAAGGATTTCTCCAAAGTGCTAAAGAGCGCCCCATGTCCTGTCTCCAGATGGCTGGCCCCGCCCACCCCGTTCAGCCACGCCCCATGTCCTGTCTCCAGATGGCTGGTCCCGCCCACCCCGTTCAGCCACGCCCCATGTCCTGTCTCCAGATGGATGGCCCCGCCCACCCCGTTCAGCCACGCCCCATGTCCTGTCTCCAGATGGCTGGCTCCGCCCGCCCCCTTCAGCCACGCCCCTGACCAGGCCAGGCGCGCGGCCGCGGAAGGCGGGGCTGCGAGTGCGCATGCTCGCCCGTCCGCCGCGCGCATGCGCTGTGCTCGCTGGCGGGCAGCATGGCGGGGGCTGCTCCGGGAGCTGTCGCCGAGGAAGACTATTTCGGGAGTTCGGCCGAGTGGGGCGAAGAGGCGGACAGTGGCCAGGTGAGGGGGTCGCCCCCCGACGAGGACTGCTCGTCTCCGCCGGCGGGCCGGCCACGAGGTCTCCGATTGGTTCAAGCACCCCAACCACACCCCCCACCCACGCCCCGGCCCGCACCCCACTTGTCCCCACGGGGCTCCCCGGTTCCCTGCAGCTCAGCTCCAGGGAACGAGGGGCCTCGGGGGACCCCAGACCCCAGAGGCAGCCTGGAGTCCTGCAGGAAGGCCACGTGCCTCAGTTTCCCCAGGGAAGGGCTGCAGCTGGGTTGGTGCCGGTCCACCGTCGGCCCCTGTCTTGGCCAGTCTCCTGGGGTCCCCGAGGCGAGGTGGACACAGTCTGTTTGAAGAGTCCAGGTCCTCAGAGAAACACGACTGTCACCTCGATCGGCCCTCGAGCTCTCAGCCTGGGGGTCCGAGGGATCCTGGGGGCTCCCCGGGGTGGGGGTCCACGGGGACCTGTCGCCCCTGCAGGGCTGGAGGCTCCCCAGAACCAGATCTGATGGACCAGGGGTAAGCTGCACTGCAGTCCCAAAGGCACCCGGTTCGAATCCCCCAGCTGCTCCGCAGGAGACAGCTGGGCGGGCCCCTCCTGTGAGGAGTCCCACCTGGGACTCAATGGCACAGCACATGAGTTTGAAAGGCCCTTCCAGGGTCGGGTGTGGAGCAGAAAAGGCACCTTCCCCATGTCTTGAAGATGTGGACGGTCCATTCAGCTTGATCCCGTCAGGCTGGCCCCGTGTGACAGTGCATCTACCCCATAAGGTTCCCGAGGCCGCCTTTTTAACAGCACTGGATGATCAAGTCCTTCCACGGAGCCACTGGCCTTTCAGTTAGCAGCCAAATCCTTAGACCTTGTGCCACCAGGGCGGCGGGAGCTTACCATCTTGTTCTAGTGGTGAGATTCCCCTGAGGTCAGCTCAGCCTTCTGGCCGGTCTCCCAGAGACTGTGACCTGGTCAGCCTGGCATGGGGTCTGGTGAAGTGCGTTGTTCACAAGAGTAGGTGCTCGTTGCTTTTGGGGATAGAGTGTCCCCAGCTTACCAGGTGCGGTGCCCATGATGTACTGCTGCCCAGCCTTGGTTTTGGAGGGGTTTAGGGCATCTGCCATATTAGTTACCACACTGCCATGCCTTGTAATCTGCTATTACTGTCCTACTCAAGCCAACCCCAAAGACACTGATGATAAAACGCAGTTGAGTTTCATGTGAGAACTGACTTAGGATGGAACCCTTGGACCGCAAGCACGTTTAAAGTCGGAGATTGCCAGCATTGAGCGGATATTTTGACAGAAGGATGGGATAGGGTTGACGTCATTGGATTGGCATGGTGAGAGGGCACCTGAGGCCAGTATGTGCTGTGTGGTGGAACCGAAGTGTCCTGTGTGGTTATTTATCTCATACAGGCAGTGCCGTGAGGTAGAGGCAGAGCCAAGCTCTGAGGGACCTTGGAAAGCTGCAGAAAAGTGACACGTTCAAGGGTTGAGGGCAGAGACAAGAGTGGGTTTGTTAGTCAAAGGATTATGTGACTGTTAGGTGCCCTCTTGTTGATTCCGAGTCATAGTGACCATGCTCCAGTAGCAAGAAACCTCACAATCTCAACACAATCTACAACAAGCCCATTGAGACACAATGTGCACTTTGCCAGTCTGTTTCATTGACATTCTTACTCATTTCCACTGGTTCTCTGCTAGCATGGTGTCTTTCTCCAGGGGTTATCTCTCCTTATTACTTCTCCAAAGTGTGTGAGATGAAGTTTCACTGAGCGATTCTAAGGAACATTCTGGACGTTTGTTCGTTTGGCTTTCATTTCGTATATTCAGTATTCTTCACCAACCCCACAATTCAGAAGCATCCGTGCTCTTTGTGCCTTCCTTACTCATTGTCCATTCTGTACAGGCGTATGAGGCATTTGAAAATGTCACAGCACACCTTAGTCTTTAAAGTGGCATTCTTAGCTTTTTAGTACTTTAAAAATCTTTTGTCGCAGATTTACCCAGTTCATTACATTGGTTTCTTCTTCCATGAGCACCAGTGGTGCACCAAGTAAAATGGAGCCTTTGCAGATATCACTCTTTCTGTGTTTCGCCGTGATGCTGTGAATTGGTCCAGTTGTGAGAATTTTGTTTGCTTTCTGTTGAGATGTGATCGATATTGAGAACTGTCGTCTTTGAGGGGCATCAGTTAAGTGTTCAAGTCCTCTTCATTTTATAGCAGAGAAGGCTCTGTCATCTGCACATCATAGGTGGTTGATAAATCTTCCTCCAGTCCTGATGTCGCTTTCCTCTTCATATGGTCCAGCATCTCGGATGATTTGCTTGGTGTGCAGATTGAATAGGTCTAATGAAAGAATACAGGCCTCATGCACACCTTTTCCGATTTTAAACCACGAAGTCTCCCCTTGTTCTTTTGGACAGCTATTTCTTGGTCTTTGTATATTTCTGAATGTGATGAAGTGTTCTTTGCAATGTTGTTGTTGTTCTGTGCTGTGGAGCCACCTGCGACTCATAGCAACCCTATGTACAACAGCCCTAAACCCTGCTCTGCCCTGTGCCAATCTCACTGCCCCAGTCACTGAATCAATCTGTCTCATAGAGGGTCTTCCTCTCCTGTGCTGTCCCTCCACCCTCTCAAGCATGATGTCCCTCTCCAAGGACTGGTCCCTCCTTGCAACATGTTCAAGATATGTCAGATGGTATCCTCCTTAGTCATTGCCTAGCCCCCTGGCGCATAGCAAGTGATTGCAAAGACCATGGCCTATATCAGGCGCACCTTAGCCTCCAGAGTGACACCATTGCTTTTTAGTACTTTGGAGAGGTCTCTAACAGGAGACTTTCTCATCGCAATAGATCTTTTAATTTCCTGACTACTGGTGCCAAGACTGTTGACTGTGGAGCCAGGCAAACTAAAGCTGTTAACAATCTCAATCTCTTCACCATCTATCATGATGCTGCCCAGTGGTGAGAATTTTTGTTTTCTTGATATTGAGCCTCAATCCCTATTGAAGGCTGAAGTCCTTTACTAGTCGGAAAACATGGACTTGGTGACGGAAATGAAGCTGGAGACAGAATGATTGGATTTTGCACAATCAATGATTTATTCATTTCAAATACATTTTATAAGAAACATAATCGCTTATACATATCAATTATACATAATCAATTATACATATGGATTTCACCTGATGGTATGCTTGGGAATGAGATTGATTTCATCTGTGGAAAGAACCACTGGAGAAGCTCAATATCAGCTGTGAAAACTAGGCCAAGAGCTGATTGTGGAACAGAACACCCACTACTCATATGCAAATTCAAGCTGAGGCTAAGGAAAATTAAATCCACAGGAACCAAAATAGGACCTTGAGTGTATCCCACCTCAATTTCAAAACCGTCTCAGGAACCTGTTTTTGTGACTGAGATATTTCACTCCTTCAGGCTCCCCCATGTTGTTTAACATTTTGTGAGTTCATTGTTTTTCAGTGCTACATAATATTCCACTGTGTGGATGGATGTACCATAGTTTTTCTATCCATTCATTTGCTGATGGGCACGTGAGCTGCTTCCATCTCTTCGCTATTATGAATAATGAAGCATTAAACATGGATGTGCATACATCTGTTTGAATTGTGGTTCTGGTTTCTTTAGGGTATCTTCCCAGTAGTGGAATTGCCGATCAAATGGTATTGGTATTTCCAGCATTTCGAGAAAGTGCCGGACTGCCGTGCATTTTACATTCCCACCAGCAGTGAGAGTTCCAGTCTCTCCACAACCTCACCAGCATTTGTTGTTTGCTGCCCTGTTTAGCTTTGCCATTGTTGTTGGTGTGAGATGATACCTCATAGTTGTTTTGCCATTCTCTTCTTGCCTGCCTGGTTTCTGCAGAGAAATGGACCTTAGTCATCTTGATTCTCCTTTACAGGTGATTCTTCCGTTTCCCTAGTACTTTCAGTATTCTTTCTTCATCTCTGATTTTGGAATATTTGATTTATAAATGTCTGATTAGTTTTTCTTTTTGTGTCTATCCTGTTTAGTTTGTTGAGCTTCTTGAGTTCGGTTCTGGACTTTGGTCACTTGTTGTGCCATCTTGTCCTGGTGTGTGTGTGCGCGCGCTTGTGTGTGTGTGCGCGCACGTGCGCGTCACTGAGACGTTCTGTCTTTTTATCATTCTGCTTTGATGTATCTGAGTGCACCAGGTGAGTGTGCCCTCAGCTCGTGTTCTGATGGGTGTGATGGAGAAAGGTAGCAGTGTGGTGCAGCTGCAGAAGACGGGGCTGTTGCTGGTTACTGGCACGTGTGCTCGGTGCGTACTCCTGCTGGCTTGTCTTTGCCCCCCACCCCGGGGTGGACATCGTTGCAGTTTTGAGTGTTTGCTCTCATCAGAAAGCTGCTTTAAATGTTCAAATGGCAGAGCTGTGTCATGTCCATTCATAGCAACTGCACTGCAGCAGAACGAAACCTTCCCCCTTCCTGCACCATCGGTGAGGACAGCTTCTGCTCTGCTGTAGCCCGTTGTTGCGGGCCGTCTGTTTCAGGCCGTCTCAAGGACCATCTGTAGAAGGAGCAAGGGCCACATGGGGAGTGCCGTATCTGACCTTTACCAACTCCACAGTGGAGAACTGGCCCTGTCAACAGCATCAGTAACACATAACCAGTTCCCACTAGGTCAGACATGTTTCCCATGCTCCCATGCCTCTTCCTACTCATCTCAACACCAATCTTACTGCTTTGCAGAGTCCATAATCTGATATGATAGCTCATAGACCCTACAGAACCATATTGCGGAAATTAAAAGGTTATAATCCAGATTAATAATAGAATAACTTCAAAACAGCTCCAGAAATTTCACGCAAGCATCTCAACCTCGAGCCTTGTGGCTCTAAGTGTTTCAAGTTTTCAGTCCTGCCAATATTGGCTTCTCTCCCCACCCTCCACCCCCAAAGTCCCATCTCGTCTCATGTCATATATCCAGTTCAGCCCTGACTGCTATTGCCGTCCCAAAGTGGGCCCTACATTTTCCGGCCTCCTCTTTACCGGAGTAGGGAAGATCTCTTTCCTCTTCCCTACCTGGGGAGGATTCTGTCTCTGTAGCTAGTATTGTCCAGTTTATTGGCAAGATTAGCCAATCTTGTAGATTGTTGATATTAGCCAGTCCTCTTGTGGAATGGTAGATAACCAGTCCCTTGTGGCTAAGCCAGCATGGCTCGTTAATAGTCCTGCCAATCCACATGGTCAGTCGTCCACACTACAGAAGCCATTTTGAAGGACAAACCCCTTACGGACTCTGTTTTGCAGACTCACTGCCTCTCCTAGCGTGATGCCCTTTTCCTTGAATGACATCCCCTCCCCTTTTACAAGCACAGAAAGCAGTTTAAAAATGCCATGACTTGGGTCTTAGCACTTGGGGCTCTGAACAGTTGTCCTTGTTCTTCAGTGCTTCCGAGAGGTCCTTTGCAGCAGGTTTGCCCAAGTAACAGATAAATCATTTGATTTTTTTTTTTTTCACTGCTGCTGCCATGGGTGTTGATTGTAGACCCTAAAGTCTGTGACAGTTTGAATCTTCCTCTTACCATGATGTTGCTTATTGGTCCAGTTGTGGAGATCGTGTTTTCTTCATGTTAAGATGTAATCCATCCTGAAGCCGGTGGTGGTTGGGCTTCATGTTAGAGCTTCTGGGAGCTGGTGGTGTCCTGCTTACAGTAACACCGTGTACGACAGTAAC